CCTGTTTACAAGATGCCCCGGGAGAAGGGGAAGTAGGTAAAGCTAGAGATAAAACCTCAGGGACTGAAAGAGGACAGAGCTCTTGGTCTCTGTTAACAAGTAGTTATGATGAACAAAGACTGTCAATTATTATTTTCTTTTTTAAGACAGGGTCTCTCTACATAGCTAGGCTGGCTGCCCTGGAACTCACAGAGATCCACCTGTCTCTGCCTCCTGAGTGCTGGGATTAAAGGTGTCTGCCCTATGCCTGGCTTGATCATCAATTACTTTAAAAAAAAATTTATTAGGTGTATGATGCATGCCCTTAATCCCAGTACTTGGGAGGCAGAAGCAGGAGATCCTATGTGAGTTCAAGTTCAGCCTGTCTACAGAGTGAGCATTCTAAGACAGCCAGGACTGTGTAGGGAGACTCTGTCTCAAATACATACATACATACATACATACATACATACATACATACATACATACATAAGTAAATAAATAACAATAAAATAATTTTCAAAAATTACTATTTAAAAAAACTTGCAAATAAAAACATCACATATTACTGGGAGGTGATGTCACACACCTTTAATCCCAGCACTCGGGAGGCAGAGGCAGGCAGCTCTCTGTGAGTTTGAAGCCAGCCTGGTCTATAGAGTTCTAGGACAGCCAGGGCTACCCAGAGAAACCCTGTCTCAAAAAACAAAGAACAAAAAACAAAAGAAAGAAAGAAAAAATATTAACCAGACCCCAAATCTACATAGCACAGTGATTTCTACACAGTGAAACTGGCATTTAGAACAGCTGCTGAGCTTCACATTAAATTTTACACTTTTGGTATTGAATATATTTTATGCATTTATCTACCAGCAAAAAAACAAAACAAATTTCATGACAAAGTTAGAACTAGAAAAGTAATTAGTTTTGTATTATCTTTTGTATTATTTTGTCCATCACCTGCATTCAGTCCTCCGTCAATTATTCTTAGTATTCCAAAGATATGTGGCCTACTTAGAATTCTTTGGCCAAGAGGATATTAATATTGGTCTGCTGGCATTAAATGACCAAACACATGCTTTAAGATGCCAGGGTGGCAATTCTAGGTCCTGTCACTTCATTATTTCAAAATTCAAAATTTGTTGTTTAGCTCAGAGACCAGTGAATGCAGAGCTGATCTTATCTACTGTATGTTTAAGCCATGTCAGTGCAGCAGACTGGGGTTGGGGAGTGTGTGTTCATTTACAGCCCCAAGAACCACACAGAGCTTTATGGATGAGAAGGAGCCTAGGTCTGATTTGTCTTGGTGGAGGAAGCTGTCAAGTCTTCTCAGCAAGTAGCCACTGAAGGCCTGGGATGTGCCCAGCCTACCTCAGGTCTCAGGGTAGAAATAGAACCGACCCAAGCCCCTGCTCCCCAAGAACTCAGTCTTCTGAGGAGCAGAGACCATAAACACAGAGAGTTCAGCAAGTGTCATCAGGGCTGTGATGGATGGAAGCTACGGGAGGGAGCAGACTCGTGGAGAAAACTGCACCACTGCAGCCTGGAGGAACGTGCAGCCTTCCAGTCTGGGAGGCGAAAGAGAAAAGGGGTTCCAGGAAAGAACCCAGCATAGGCAACCCGGCTATTTTTGTTGTTTCGATTTCACTCATAGTAAATTGACAAATGAAAAATGTATATATTCAAGGTACACAGTGCGATGGATGTACACATCATGTACTGATTATCGGTGGTTAACGAAGACCCCCACCCCCACAGTTAACACGTGTGGCCGGCCATCTTTTGTTGTTGGGTGGCAGTGCAGGACTACCGGCGGTTCCCTGACACAGAAGCCTAAGGAAGGAACAAGATGGAGCTAAATACAGTGGCAGAAATTGGCACGGGGGGTGGGGAGACATATGCTGGGCAGAGGATTGTCTTTCCCATTTAAACAGCAGGGAGGCCTGATAACATAAACTGTAACACAATCGGCACTCCTCAGGCCCGTGAAGGGGCAACAGCTGGGAATAGTTTCCACTCTGAGCCCCTGGCAGGTGCAGTTCTCAGGGACCGTGTGCAGGCAGCCGAAAAAGGAGAGGATGGTAGGGCCCCAAGTCCCCCACCCCAGGCCCACCTCGTGCAGCTGCTCTGTGCCATCAAAACTCCCCTCCCTGGTTCCTCCCTGGAAAGCCTCCTCCCTGGCTCCCCTGATAGTAAAATGATGACAGCCTGTTTTAGAAGCTAGACTCCCACAGGAGCTAACAATGCCGCCGCGTGGCAAGAAACAATGATCTAACTGTAGTCTGTCTTTAAAGTCCACCATTCTGTGATAAAGGCCATTACTTAATCCTTCCAAGGACCTATTAGAGGGCCTTCTTATCTCTACCTCAACACAGAAGGTTGGGTAACTTGTCCAAGGTCAGAGAGTCAATAAAATACAGAACAAAGAGTGGAAACCAGTGTATGCCCTTTGGACCTAGAAGCTGTAGTCTGGGTCCTCACAACCACCACACACCATGAGGTGGACTTCGAAGTGGAAGGTCTACGCTGCAAAAGCTTGGCAGCCGAAGAAGCTTTCTAAAATGTATTTCGATTTTTATCATCACTATGATTGTTAGTGTGTACGGGTGCCTGCATGCTACAGACACACAGGGAGATTCCAGGTCGGTTTCTTTCACCATGTTTAGGGGGGTTCTGGGGACTGAACTCCGATTGTCAGTTTGGGTGGCAAGCACCCTTACCCACTGAGACGTCTTAGCCCCTAAAACAATTTTTTTTTTGTCTCATTCCTTGTCAGATGCCCTGTTTAGTCTGTTCACTAATCCAGAATGGGGCACACCTGCAAGACACAGAGTCAAGACTCTTTCTCTGCTGTGCTGTCTTTACAAAAAAATTCAAAAAACAAACCAAAAATGTAACTTATTTCAAAATATATATTTATCTTTAAAGCAGCAAACAGCTGTTTCTTGTTCCAGCCCCTTCACACAAGCTTCAAATCATTATGAATGACTCCCACTGTCCTTGGAATTGCCCGAGCTAAAATTTATGTTTCTCTTTAAATTCATGCTTGATTGCACTCTAAATTCTGCCTATCCGGTTGCCTCAACCTTTTTCCCGCCCTCCCTTGCCTCACGTTCCTTAGCTCGGGCCCCACACCATCCATGTGTCCCATGCTGGAATCTTGTTTTTTTTTTTTTTTTTTTTTTTTTTCTCTTGAGACAGGGCCTCATTATGCAGCCCAGGCTGGCTTGGAATTCAATCATCTTGCCCGCATCTCCCCAGTGCAGGGATTACAAGTCTACACCACATCTGGCTGGAAATGTAACATTTTGACAGCTAACTTTCTCTATTGTTCCCAGCTCCACCTCAGGATGTGACCTAATGGCATAGGTGCCTCAGGTCCTGGGCAGGAACTACTCCACACAAAAGAGTAAGCACCCAACAGTCAAGTAAACTAACTCCTCAAAATCACAAAGCCATTGTCTAATTGAAAGGATATATATAAAATTTGTTGTTTTGATTTTCAAGACCAAGACAGGGTTTCCCTGTGTAGCCCTGGCTGTCCTGTACTCACTCCATGACCAGGCTGGCCTTGTCCACCTGCCTCTGCCTCCCGAGTGCTGGGATTAAAGGCATGCACCACCACCATCTGGCTCCAATTCATCATTTTTTAAAAATGTATTTTTTTTTTTTTTTTTTTTTTTTTTTTTTTTTTTTTTTTTTTGGTTTTCCGAGACAGGGTTTCTCTGTGTAGCTTTGCGCCTTTCCTGGTACTCGCTTTGGAGACCAGGCTGGCCTCGAACTCACAGAGATCCGCCTGGCTCTGCCTCCCGAGTGCTGGGATTAAAGGCGTGCGCCACCACCGCCCGGCTTTAAAAATGTATTTTTATATGTATGTTTGTCTACATGTATGCACCATGTGTGCACACATCTGTGTGCCTGGGGAGGTCAGAAGAGGGCCCTGGATGCCTTGGAGCTGCAGTTAGGGATGGTTGTAAGGCACTAGGTAAGCATCGGGAATCTAACCCAGGTCCTCTGCCAGAGCAAGTGCCCTCAACCATCTCTCCAGTCCCAATTCTTAATTTTAAAAAGAGTTAATTCGGGGGCTGGAGCAATAGTTCGGTGGTTAAGAGCACTGGCTGCTCCTCCGGAGGACCCTGGTTCAATTCCCAGCACACACATGGCAGCTCACAACTGTCTGTAACTCCAGTTCTCGGGGATCGGACATCCTCACGTCAACACACAGACAGGCAAACACCAATGCTGCTTACATCCCACTGTGTACAGCATCCTGTTTTTCTCCATCACTGACCTTTGGCTGATGCCACTATGAACACAGGCTACAGAGAAGTCCCTGGAGATCCAGCTTTCAGTTCCTGCAGATAGGTAAGCAGAAGTGGAATTACTGGCTCACAGGGCTAATTTAAAATTTCCTATTTTTCTCATAGTCAGGCGCTCCAAATGCATAGGCTTGGTCTGCCTCTGACTAACCCAGAACTGTATACCCAGAACTGTAAGAGCCAGAATCCAGGCGTTTTCTCTGCTATGTTGATAGCCACAAATCTTTTCAAGTGATTTCATAAACAAAAATGCAATTTATTTCTAAACTTTCACATTCCCATCAACAGTGCATAAGGGTTCCAATTTCTCTATACTTGACATTTATTTTAATAGTAGTGGTCCTACTAGGTGTGAGGTAGTATCTCAGTGTGATTCTATTTTGAATCCATTTTCTTACAGCTTTTGGTTCAAAGCAAAATTGAGACAACACAGTAATTTCCTATATATGAAGAATCAGCCTTGAGAGACATCCTGACACCTTCAGCAGAAGGCACATTATAAATGACGAGCCTACAGGAACACATCGTCCTCGCTTACATTAGGGTTCACTCTTATTTCACGTTTTACCAATCTGCACAAATGGCTGAAGACCTGTATCCACCATCAAGAGAACCACAGAGAGTGGCCTCGTGACCTTAGAACCTCTTCTTTAACCATCCTACCATGTGAACACTTTTAGATTTTTGATTTGTGTTTAAGACTTTTGCCTTTATATATACGTGTGTGTGTGTGTGTGTGTGTGTGTGTGTGTGTGTGTGTGTGTGTGTGTGTACCATGTACGTGCCTACTACCTGTGCCAAGACAAGAAGAGGGTATGAGATCTCCTGGAACTGGAGTTAGGAGGTTCTGAGCCATCAGTGAGTGATGGAACCAAAGTCAGGTTCCCTGCAAGAGCAGTGAGTGCTCTTATACACTAAGCCACCTCTGCAGCCTGCCACTCAACTTTTCCTGGAGTACTGGAACCTGTAGAACCCAGAAACTCAGCCTTCCACCACAGAGCCACACTGCCAGGCTCTAACTTACTTCTATCACTTTTTTTTGAGGACACCAGTATCATACATTGGAAACAAGAATGTAACTCCAGGCAGTGATGGTACACACCTTTAATCCTAGCACTCAGGAGGCAGAGGCAGGAGGATCTCTGTGAGTTCAAGGCCAGCCTGGGCTACAGAGTTCCAGGACAGGCTCCAAAGCTACAGAGAAACCCTGTCTCAAAAAACAAACAAACAAAAAAGAACGTAACCCTTTCAGATTTGGCCTTTCCTTCAGTAATAACCCTCTACATCTCTTGTGACTAACTCATTTCTTTTTAGTACTAGACAGTCCATTGTCTGTATGTATCATTTACCCTTTCATCTACTGAGGGACCTCTTTGTTGCTTCCGAGTTTTGGCAATTATAAGTAAGGCTGCTATGAAAACCCCTGTGCTGGTTTTTGCATGAGTATACTTCTAATTCCCCTGGGGAAATATAAAGAGGCAGGGTCACCAAGACACTGTGTTTAGTTTTGTTAAACTCATCAACTGTCTTCCCAAGTGGCTGAGACGTCTTTTGTTTTCATGAGTGAGGCAAGTCCTTGCCTCTCCACAATCCCACCTGCATTTGGTGTGTTTCAGCCTCTACAGTCACAGCAGTGTGCTCGGTGCAGTTTGTACCCTCCTGACACGCTGCAGAGGACCTCTAACACACGCATTTGCCACTTCTGGTGGGTTCTCCTGGTTAGGAACTTCCGTGTACATCAGGCTGTCTGTCTCCAGAGTGTGCCCGCCACCGCACACAGCTTTCAGTTCTTTTCATCAACTGTCTACTGTTTTATAATTCTTATCACATTTGTTTTTACTGTGTGTGCACTCCTGCATGGAGGTGAGAGGACAGCTTGCAGGAATCAGTTGCCTCCTTCCCGGGACAGCAGAAGAGTTCATGTGGTTTTCATGCATAGGCCCCCACGATTAGTATCTTTTCCTATGCGTTGGCCTACAGCAGCCAATCACACCAAACGCAATTTCCAAGACATCCTAAACACAAACTTGATGGCTTTTAAACGCTCTCTCCACTCAGGACAGGCCCTCCCCTGTATCAGCTTGAGAGGGCAGCTGGCTGAGCTCACAAGGCTCAAGGCAAGCTTGCCTTCTGGAGCAGCTAGCTGCCAGACCGGAAAGGAGACCAGGGTAGTGACAGCTACAGTGGTCCAGCTATCAGAGGAAAAGGACACGCTCGCCCCCTGGTGACCAATAGAGACAATAGAAGGGAAAAAATTATTAAAAAGGCACACACACAAAGGCAAGAAAGAAAAAGGCACAGCCACCATGATGAACACATTCCATCCTGCCAAGATCTGGAGAACAAGAGCATACCAGATAAATCAATCAACTGAAACAGCTCACTCATCTGGACAGTTTAACAAGTTCAGTCCTGCCTGGTATAGCTGAGGCAGCCTGGGAGTTTAAGGCCAGCATAGGCAGCACAGGCCTGTTCAAAAGAGCAGCAGCCACGTGATGATGGCACACACCTCTAATCCCTGCACTCGGGAGGCAGAGGCAGGCAGATGTTTGTGAGTTCGAGGCCAGCATGGTCTACAGAGTGAGTTCCAGGACAGCCAGGGCTGTTACACAGAGAAACCCTGTTTAGAGCACCCCTCCCCGCCCCCACCGCCGAAAAGAAAAAGGCTCTGTTCAGTGGACAACTTTGTGCTATCCCTCTCCCAAATTCCCAGGTGGAGCTGCTTCAAGAGTCCTCTGTCTTCCCCTGAGGAGCAGAGGTAGCTGAGGAGGTTAATTTTTAACTGTAAATTTCTTATCTAAAAGAGAGGACACTTAGGTCTTGTCTTCTTTGGCCACCACAAGGCATAACCTAACTACCTTCAACTTTCATGTGGCACAGAGCTCCCGATCCCTATAAATCTGTCGAAAGGTCTGACTGGAAAGGCAAGGAGCCCACACCGTGGTTACATAAGGCAGAGGGCGGCAGTCGTGACTGCCGCTGTTCTTAGCTCCTCAAGACCTCTGTTATGCAAATTAGGATACTTTCTAATTTTCAAGATCTTCCGACTAAAATGATAATGATAGCTGATTCTTTGAGGCCCGTGGCTGCTAAATTTCCCAACTTCTCTTTGTCTCCCAACCCCAAAAGGCTATGGCTCTACAGTTTGCTTCTATTTTTCAGAGGTCCAGTTTAGAAATTAAAACCCCCATAACGTGGGTGTCGTCACAGAATACACACAAAGGATTATTTACTAAAACAAACTTCCAGCCACTCCCAGCAGGCGACACTCGGGTGCACATGGCACTGACTGACCTCCAAGGGCTCTTCTGGCCTCATCAGAGCTGCCAGTGTCAAGTCGTCTGTTGCTCGGGAGGATGGGCCACACACTACCCAAACGTTAAAGGCTGGACGTTTTTCTGCTGTTCTTTGTGCAGCTGCTGGGCCCGATTTTTCAGCATTTCAGCCTTGGCCTCATCCTTATCAACACCATCCCCCAGTTTGTACATGCGGCTGGCATTGGCGCAGGCCCAGATGTGGCCCAGGTCACAGGCCTTCATTGAATATTTACATGCCAAACCCATGTCCTTGGGGAAGCCAGGGGCACCCTGTAGAAACATGGCACTGAGGTTGAAGCAGCTGGCTGCAAAGCCACCATCACAGGCCCTGGTGTAGTAGTCCCTGGCCTTTCCCAGGTCAGGCTGGCCATCCTCATTGACCTGTCCATCGTGTGCCAGGAGTCCAACATTGTGACATGATTCCACAGACTTCTTTCCTGGTTTCTCACAGGCCATCAGAAAGCAAGCAGATGCAGCCTTTAGGTCTTGAGTCAGGCCACCTACAAACATAAAAACAAAGAAAACTTTGTAAACTCAAGGGCTGGGCAGATAACTCAGTGGCAGAGCTCTTTGCCTAACAATGTCAGGCGGCTTGGGTTCAATCCCTAGTACTTCCCCCACCCCAGAAAAAAAATCACCACCCTACCCCTCAACCAGGGCTGAACCGATTTCTTTCTGGCCAAGGTTAGGGAACAATCCTTGAGTGAAGTCCTGTGAGCTAAATTAACATGGAGGAAGGTAGCCAGTTTGGTAGCCATGGAATCTTTGATTCACACGCTGTCTTACAGGGAAGCCAAGACAGGAAGAGACATGGCAACTTAGAGCACCAGAGACTACCACATGGGCTACAATGAGAACAGAGAATTTTTAAAATAAGCAATTCAATGTTCCTTAATCTAAATATACAGTTGGCCCTACATATGTATGAGTTCTGCATATGCAGATTCCATTAGTTATGAACATTATTACAGCATTCAAACCAGACAGCAGCTGCAAATTTAACCAACCATGGACTGAAAATATTCAGGGAGAAAAAACCATGTCTGTGCTAAAAATATATGGACTTTCCCCTGTCATTCCCAGAACAGTACATGATACAACTATTTACATTAGTGTTTATACTGTATTAGGTAGCACAAGCTAGAAATGATTTGAAGGGAAGGAAGGATGTGTGGGTGTTTATGCCAACTCTCTGTGCACAGGAATCTGGAGTACCTAAGGATTCTGATCCAACAAAGCTCCTGGAAATAATCTCCCAGGGCAGACTAAAAAAAGAAAAAAACAAAACCAAAGCTAAAGGTATGCGTGCACACCTTTAGTCCTAGCTCTTGGGAGGCAGAGGCAGGTGGATGCCTGTGAGTTCCAAGGCAGCCAGAGCTACCTAATAGAGAGACCCTATTACAAACAAAACAAACAACCCCCCCCCCAAAAAAAAACAACTAAAAAAAGAAATGACACAGGAGCTGGGAATGGTGGTATATGCCCATAATGCCATATATAACCCTAGCACGGAGGAAGTAGAGGCAGGAGAATTCAAAGTTTGAGATCACCTAAGCTACATAATAAGGTTGTTTCAAAAAAAGTAGCATCCAGGGGCTGGAGAGATGGCTCAGCAGTTAAGAGCACTGACTGCTTTTCCAGAGGACCTAGGTTCAATTCCCAGCATCCACATGGTGGCTCACAGCTGTCTTGTAACTCCAGTTTCAAGGGACCTAACACCCTTACCCAGACATATATGAAGGCAAAAACACCAATGCACATAAAATAAAAATAAATTTTAATGTACTGAACCTCTGAATCGTAAGTCACCTAATTAAACGTTTTTCCTTTATAAGAGTTGCCATGATCATGGTGTCTCTTCACAGAAATGGGAATCTTAACTAAGACGGAAACTGGTACCAGGGACTGGGGTATTGCTGTGATAGGCCAGACCAAGTTTCTATTTGGAATAATATGGACTTTGTGAGTTTGGGTTAGGAAAGCAGTGGAATGCTTTAAGCACTGCTTAATGGGCCATCCAGGTAGAAGCATGGAAGACAGTGGTGTTGAGAGTGATTTGAACCATGGGGACCTGACTCAAGAGGCTTCAGAGGAGAATAATATTGATATGTGGCCTAGAGATTGTTCTTGTGATATTTCGGTGAAGAATGTGGCTGCTTTTTGATCTTGTCTGAAGAGTCTGCCTGAGGCAAAAGTGAAGAGATCAGGATTAATTCTGATAGCTGAGGAAATCTTGAAACAGCTTAGTATTGACTCTGCTGTGGGGTTATCACTAGTCACGCTCATAAAGGTTTATAATGAAAAGGAGCAAGCTGAGCAAGGAAAATTTTTTGAGGAGAAAAGGAGCACCAGAAAGTGGAATGGAGCTAAGTCCTGTGTTGAAGGAGATAAACTGATTAAGAAATGGAATAAAGGGTGGTGAGGTGACCTCAGTGCAAGATCCCACCCAGCTAAGTTTCCAACTTGTGAAAAGGAATTAAACAAAGCTTAGAGCCAGGTGTGGTGGTGCATGCCTTTAATTCCAGCACTCAGAAGGCAGAGGCTGACAGATCTCTGAGTTTGAGGGTAGCCTGGTCTACAGATCCAGTTTCAGGACAGCCAAGCTTAGGTAGTGAAGGGAATCATCAAAAATAGAAAGTTGGTCTGTAGCCTTGCTTGCTGACCTTGACCTTGATGTCCTCCCTATGCTAATTCCCTGCCAGGTTCCACCCTCCTGAATGCTTAAGGGAAGTTCCTTGTCTGTGTATCCTGCATAATGGGCATAAACAGCTTAGATGCAAGACTGTAAAACATCTGTAGCCCTCCGGGGTTCTCCCATTGTGCTGTAAGCCTGTATTTAAGACCTCTTCCCTCCTCCAATAAACAGCATTCGGCATAAAAAAAGAAAAAAAAGAAAAAAGAAAAATATGCCAGTCTTTTAAAGCTTAATAACTTCTCACAACTGTCCAAATTTTATACTATTCTTGTAATTCAAAAAGAAAAAACACACCTAAGATTGCCGTACTCTGTGATCACTGTGTGGTAGGAAACTGTCCTATCATAACCAGTCTCTTAGAGTTGTAAATGGTTTTTCAAATTCAATACACTTCTTGAATTTAATTCCTAAAATAAATACAATACAATTACTATATAAAAAAAAAATAGAAAGTTGGTGAAGATGTAACTGAATGAGGGGGTCATGTTCCAGCCCCAGCAAGCAGCAGAACTTGGCAACTTTGGCCATGTGGTTCTGGCTTTAGAGTTAAGGACAAAGAAAGGGGTTGCGGAACTTGCCTCAGCAACTAAGGAAAGCCGATGAGGCCAGACATGTGTCAGGGGTGTCCCTGAATGGAGGCCTAGAGAGGCCATTTTGTGAAGCTGTGAAGTTGAAGCTTGGATTGGGTTGGAGACCCCAAGATGTTGGAGATGCCAGAGTCATGGGATACCTGCCGAGAAAAGCTGCTAACAGGGAGTGGAACCAGCTCAAGAGAGAGAAGTGTGTTGCAGTCAACAAAGCTGAAAGAGTTGGAGATCTGAAGAGTGCTTTGACATCAGATGTAGAGATGCAGAGTTTGGAATTGCCCAGCTGGTTTTCAGTCTTGCTTTGGTCCCATATTTCCTCACTATGCTCCCTTCCCTGTGTTTTGGGATGGTAATGTAGATCCTGTGCCATTGAATGTTGGAAGTATGTGATCTGCTTTTTGATTCTGACTTATAGGGGATCACAGTTAAGAGAATGCATGAATCTCAGAAGAGATTTGAACTTTTTAAACTTATCTAATGAGTACAGGTGAGTACCTGCATGTATATCTGTGTATCACATACATGCCTGATACCTGCAGAGGCCAGAGGAGGGCATCAGACCCCTTGGAATTGGAGCTACAAATAGTTGTAACTGCCATGTGGGGGCTGGGAATGGAGCCCAGGTCTCCTAGGAGAGCAGCCAGTATGAACCACTGAGCCACTCTGCTCCAATCCTTTTTGGATTCTCTGTCGGGCTACTTACCCTGAAGAGAGCTAAAGGCAGATCATCAGGAGACTCCAGCACAGCAGGGAGATATGGAGAGCTCAGTCACTGGTATCACAGGTCCCCTGACAATAGCTGACAGGAGTCAAGGCCTTTGCTATCAGGCCAGTGAGTTAAGTCAACATCTGAAGACCAACTTCAATCACATCTTCCAACGACTACAAGTACTACTCCCTTGCCAGTGTTTTGACCAAAGCACCCAGCTAAACCAACCCCATATTCCTAAGCCACAGAAGCAAGGAGGGAAACTTGTTATCTGGCAAAAAATTAGCATTACTTAAGATATAAGGCCAATTAGAGCATGAGAAAAAATATAAGGCATAATATCTCAGTTCTTATTCTGTGCTCAGTACATCCTGATAGCTTTACTATATATATGTTTGTTTGTTTTTTGAGACAGGGTTTCTCTGTGTAGCCCTGGCTGTCCTGGAACTTACTCTGTAGACCAGGCTGGCCTCAAACTCATGGAGATTCGCCTGCCTCTGCCTCCAGAGTGCTGGGCTTAAAGGCGTACACCACCACCACCCCATCACTTTACTACATTTTACTTTTAAATTTTATTTATTTTGAGTATTTTGCCTGTGTACATGTATGTGTACCATGTGTGTGTCTAGTGCCTGAGGTCAGAAGTCGAATCCCCTGGAACTGGAGTTACAAATGGTTGTGAACGTGGGTCCTCTGCAAGAACAACAAGTGCTCTTAACAGCTGAGCCATCTCTACAGCCCACACACTAATAACTTTACCTGAACTGCCCAAAGTAACTCCATTTTGTCCTAGCTAATCTAACCTATCTAACTGCTCCCCAGCACCCTCAGCACCACATCCTGCTGAGCACAACGTTCTCATGTAGCTTCCGGAGGTTCATTGTTTTACAACATAAAACTGTTTTAACAAACTGACCTCTCCCTCCCCACGGACACCCTCCCCACCTTCCCATGCCTCTGATGTGATGTAATTGTGATGTGGACTTTAGAAACCCACCCCGTTTCATCTCAGGTAGAGAGTCCTTTCTGATATGAGCCTGTTCTCAGGCCCTAGGAAATAAAGGACTTTTCATTGGCCTTGTATTCTTGGTGGTCTATAATCTACTCAAGTGGGCATTTCATACCTATACTGTCTATCCTTCACAATAAAACTATGGAGTAAGAGCTACTGCTTTCATGCTGTGGATTTCGCTCTGTATGCTGTGAATGTGTTGCTCTGATTGGTTAATAAATAAAGTGCTGATTGGCCAGTAGCCAGGCAGGAAGTATAGGCGGGACAAGCAGAGAAGAGAATTCTGGGAAGAGGAAGGCTGAGTCAGGAGTCGACAGCCAGACACAGAGGAAGCAAGATGTGAAGGCAGAACTGAGAAAAGGTACCAAGCCACATGGCTAAACATAAATAAGAATTATGGGTTAATTTAAGTGTAAGAGCTAGTCAAGTTAGTCTGAGCAAGTGGCCGAACAGTTTTAATTAATATAAGCCTCTGTGTATTTACTTGGGTCTGAGCAGCTGCAGGAGCCGGGGTGGACACAGGAAAACTTCAGCTACACTTTTGTTTTTTCTTTTCCTTTTGAATTCTGAGGCAGAATCTTAATCTGTAACCCAACTATGTAAGTTCAGGCTCTGTAAATGGCAGTTTACTGGGACATAGAGTTGAAAGTGACTAGCTAAGGCTGGGATGGTTGTCATGCCAGATTGCCAGGGGCCATGCCAGGGGACCAACAGAGAGCACTGGAACTCATTGGAACTGTGGGGAGCCATCCCATCCCCACTTTACCCCAGGGTACTCTTGAGCAGGAGCAGCAGGAAATATTAGATAGAAATATAGCTGAAGAGAGAGACAGAAACACAGAAGAGCCTCAGGAGGACCTGGATACTTATCCATCAGGCTCTGACTTTTACAGGAATGCCAAGCAGAGGGGCAAAAGACCACCCCCCAGCACAGCAAAGTGTATACCCTTCCAACCACCTGGCGACCTTGCCCATGGTCAAATCATCCCCTTATGTGGCTCTGCTGTGTCAGGCAAACTCAGATCTCACAAGGAAACTTCTGGGGGCTCCCACATGGAACACAGCTAGGTGGTCAGCAAAGCCACTCCAGAGTGAGCCTTGGAGAGGCACAGCCCAGGAACTACATGTCCTGTTATTGAGTATGCCTCTGTTTAGTTCCCTTGCCAGCAACACACCCCTCACAATCTATGAGTTGTATGAAGACTCTCAGGGGGTTTCTAGCCCCTCACTGGGCAGTGTCACTGGCACTTAGAATAATAGTGATTGACTTTTTCCAAGCATTGCTGCTGGAGCAGATTAATGACTCAACCACCACCCTTAGAAAGAATTCATAGATGTAGATGGTTAGTAAAGTTAGGTTAAGATGTTTTTGTTAATGGCTTTGAGGTAGAAAATCTTGAGGAACAATTTAATGTTTAGAAGGGCTCAAACAGTTAAGTGAGGGGCTCATTGAAGTCAGGAACAAAAACAGTGGCAGCCTGGTTATTGCTGGCTGACATACCTTTCCTGCTAGCAGAGGCTGATGATCAAAGATGATGATTAATTCCTTGTTAACCATTTCTGCTCTCAACTTCTCAATAAAAAACTGTTGATGAGCCGGGCATAGGTGGCAGAGGCAGGCAGATCTCTGTGAGTTCAAGGCCAGCCTGGTCTACAGAGCGAGATTCAGGACAGGCTCCAAAACAACACAGAGAAACCCTGTCTCAAAAAAACAAAAACAAAACAAAAAAAGTAAAATAAATAAACTAATAATAATAATAATAATAATAAATGATTGATCCTTTTGTAACTGCAAAATGCAGCCTGCCAGTAAAAGACCTGGCTGAGAAAAGTACCTTGCTTGCTTAAACTTTGTTAGTTTATAACAAGTTGCTTGGACATGGATGCATGTGGGTTCTTGGGGAGAATTTGTTTTTCACTTGTAATACGTAAAATGCATTACGTAGGTGAGATCCTGACATGGGTGTGTGTGTGTGTGTGTGTGTGTGTGTGTGTGTGTGTGTGTGTCCTTCAATTCCTGAGCTGCTGAACGCTGGTCCTTCCAGCAGCAGCTCCTCTGTAAGGAAGCAGAGGCAGGAGCGTCCTGAAAATTCCAGTTCAGCTTAGACTACAAACTGAACTCTAGGCCAGTGTCTTAGTGAGGGTTTCTATTGCTGTGATTAAACACCATGACCAAAAGCAAGCTGGGGAAGAAAAGGTTCATTGGGCTTATTCTTCTGCATCCATAATCCATCCCTGGTTTTCTTAGCCTGCTTCCTTTTCTTTTTTTAATCTTTCTTTTCTTTTCTTTTTTTTTTGAGACATGGTTTCTCTGTGTTAATAGTCCTGGCTGTCCTGGAACTCGCTTTGTAGACCACAGCCTGCTTTCTTATAGAACCCAGGACCATCACCACCTGCCCAGGTGTGGCCCCATCCACAATGAGCTGGGCCCTCTCTGATCAATCACTAATTTAGAAAATGCCTTACAGGGATGCTTACAGCCTGACCTTATGGAGGCGTTTTCTCAATTAGGGTTCCCTCCTTTCCTATGACTTTAGCCAGAACACCCAACAAAACTACAGTAAAACCATATCCTAAAAAAAAAAAAAAGAAAAAAGAAATATGAGCCAGACCTGGTGACGCAGCGCTCAGGAGGTAGAGGCAGGCAGATCTCTGTGAGTTTGAGGCCAGGCTGGTTCACACAGTGAGTTCCAGGACAGCCAGGGTTATGTAGAGGGACCCTGTCCAAAAGAGCAGTTTAATCACGAGCCAGAGAAATGCCTTGTTGCTGCCAAGTCTGATGGCCTGGGTTCAATTCCCAGAACCTACACAGTGGAATTAGAGAACCAACTTCTGCTAGTTGTCCTCTGATCTCCACATGTAGGACATGGTACACATCAAAATAATTAAGTAAATGTAATTTAAAGAAATTTTTTAAGAAAAAGAAAAAAATTAACTAGCTCAAGGTCCCACAGTAACCTCAAAGACGGCTTCACGGAAAGGGCGATCCTGTTCCACCAGCTCTCTGCTGAACCCCTGCCCATACTCTGCCCACCACACTGCCCTCCATGCCTGCGAGGCCCGTGAAGACCTGCATCTTACCTTTTCCAGTCACGTAATAGGCCCCCAGCTTATAGCAGCTGTCACTGTGCCCGTTGTCCTCACAGTTGAACTTCAGCACCTTGGCGGCTTCATCAAAATTCTTCTCAATTCCCTCCAGATAGTCCACCAGCCGATAGCAACCTGGAGGAGAGAGGAGTTGCCCATGCCAGCAGCTGCTGGTCAGCTGCTCAAGGGGTCCAGGGAGTCAGATGGAGTCTAGTTCTTACTCCTCAAGTATGGCAAGCAGGCTGAGCACAGAAAGGCACAGTGTCCGGGCCCTCCCACAGGGGACCATGTCTCCCCGTGGCCAGCAATGGAGACAGAAGACTGAGCCCAGCAATGGCTCTACCACTGCCAATCCTAATCCCTGTCAGCCTAGCCCAAACACTAGCTGACCTCCATGGCTGACACTCTGCTAGCTTTGGAACTGCTCTGCAAGTTCTACAATGAAAACACTAAAACCTAAAAGGCTTTGTGGGCTCCTCTCGCAGCAGCAAACCAGAAATGAGGTGGCCCTTACTCCCGGAAGCCCAGAAAACAGAGATGGAAGCTACCACAGTGGTGGGGAATAGGTCTCCCTCCTGGGTGTCCCAGTCCTAGCCAGCCCCTTAGCATTCTCAGCAATGTCAAAGATGGTTTCTCATTCACTCGCAGTCAACAAATATTTAAACATATACATACTACCATATGTGTGGAAGTATGTACCAGATACACAGCTGCTGGGAATATTGTCATTTGCCCTCCTAAAATTTATACTCTAAGCCAGGCATGCAAATTCATGCCTATAATCCCAGCACTCACAAGGTAGGGCCAAGATAAGGAGTTCAAGGTCCTCCACAACCTAGTCAAAGAGTACAGCTCAGGCTATGTAAGAAGGAAATACAGTAAGGAAATTCAATGTTTTCAAACACTAAGTGTTATAACTGAAATAAGCCAGGATGATGAGAAAGTTCGCTGTGCATCTTGGGAGAATGGTGAACACAGTTTGGGCCACCAAGGACCATGATAGCTGAGCTGGGACCTGACTACGAAGAAAGCACTAGCTACTTAAAGACAACGGGGTGGGGGGTGGGGTGAGATTGGGGGGTTGGGGGGGGGTCTGGAGGTGTTGTTCCATGGCAAAGGAGAGTACAAGGCCCTGGGTGGTTCCAGCCCTAGCATGTCAAGAAACTTAACTGGAACTAGAGGTAGAGGGCAATGATGGAAAACTTGCCTAGTACACTCAGTTTGGGTTTGAGCCTCAAGATTGCAAAACAAAAATTAATTTGACTTAATTCTCACAGATCCTGACTTCAACCTTCCAAAAGAGAACTTGGTTTTCCCACCTCTCCTCCACTGACTATAAACTCACCCCTGTAGACCATGCCTAGCCACCCTGCTCCTCAGGGACCCCAAGGGTCAAGTCCTCTGAAATTTCTCTTCAGCTGGGACATGGACTATCTCCCAAAGAATAATCCAGGTTTCCTTGTCCACACAGTCACTCTGTAGTAGACTAGTTTCAAGAAATAGCAAGTCATTTCCTAGAAACTAGACTGCAAGCTACTGGAAGGGACGGCCAGTGCCATTTTTTCTTTTCCCTTACATAAATAAAACTCCAGGAAAAGAACTCTGAGACACTGGCTGCTTCTCTGAGCATCGATCACCCATCCACTCAACCACCTCACTGCACACAAGAGGCCATTTCTGCCTCCGACCTTTTCATTAGCTGTTACCTCTGCCTGGCAAAGACCTACAATTGTTTGTTTCCTCCTTTAAAGCTTTATTCAAAAGCCATTCCACTGTGCTGTATTCTCCACTTAAAAAAAATTAATTTTGTGCCAGGCAGTGGTGGCCAAGCACAAGTCTCTGAGTTTGAGGACAGCCTGGTCTACAGAGGGAGTTCCAGGACCGCTAGGGCTACACTGAGAAACCTGACTGGGGAAAAAAAAAAAAGATTTAATTATGTGAACAGGCCTGGTGGCTCACGCTGGAAACCCAGGAGGCAGAGGAAGGGGGTTCTCTAAGTCCACAGCCAGCGTGGACTACAATGCTGTCAAGGCTACATGATACTTGGTCTCAAAATTTTTATTATTTTAAATTATGTATACGTGTGTATATGTGCAAGTGGTGTGGAGCCAGAGGTCTCGATCGCCTGGAACTGTAGTTACAGACACTTGTTAACGGCCCCACGAGGGCAAAAGCAGTATGCGTTTTTTTTTTCCTTTTGATTTTCCGAGACAAGATTTCTCTATATAACAGTCCTGGCTGTCCTGGAACTCGCTCTGTAAACCAGGCTGGCCTCGAACTCAGAGATCTGCCTGCCTCTTACTCCCGAGTGCTGGGATTAAAGGTGAGCACCACCACCGCCTGCCGCAGTAAGTGCTCTTAACCGCTGAACCCATCCATCAGTACAGTCTCCTTATCCACTCCTCTTTTGGACCGTGTTTCGCTATGTACCCAGGCTGGTCCGTAACTCCTGAGCTCTAAGTAATCCTCCTGCCTCAGCCTCCCGAATGCTAGAATTACAGCTGACACCAAACCTGACTCGCATTTACTACCATCACATATTTCATTTGTTTTCTATGCGTGTTAACCGATTCCTTCAAAGACACGTAAGCGGAGGGTCCATCGCACCTCCAGTCCTTACATCCTACTCCGCACCACTCTGTTCAAGCCTGAGGGCTCCGCCCCTCCACAGAAGCCCCGCCCCGCTGCACCCCAAGTCCCCGCCCACAGCCCGCTAGTGTCCCTGACCACGTCCTCAGGCGTCCTCGGCCCGCCACGTGACCGCGTCCTAGTCAAACGCTCGCGCCCCTCCTCTGCGTGCCCGGCTGCGCGGGCGGCACTCACCGTCCGGGTCCTTCTCGCGGTAGCACTGGTAGTGGCACTCCACTTTCATGTTCTCCAGGAAAGACTTCACCTGCTCCTCGTCCTGGAAGTCAACCAAGCCCGCCATGGCTCTGACTCCCACAAACCGAGCGCTGGCCCCGCCCCTCGGCCACGTGAGCCGCTCAGGGGGCGGGGCTTGCGGCGGCGTGCGTGATGTCAGGGCTCCGCGGTACTCCGGATGACCGCCGCTTCCCAGCAGCCCTTGCGGTGGCGGCGGTGGCGGCGGCGGTCTCCGCCCGCTCTTCTTCTTTGTGGAAGGCTCCCTTCCAGGATCCTACCTCAGCTTATCTGATAAAATTCTGCCCCTTAATAGTTTGCTCCCTGCAGTCGGGATCTGACAGCCAGCCGGGAGCTTCGGGTCGGTTCCTGCCTTTCCAGAGCTTGCCGCATTGGGCTGGAGCTCACCACTTAGTGCTCCCAGCACTGCCAAATAAAGAACTTGAAATTCATCGGGAAATCATTTGCTTATTCAGGCAGCAGGCATTTTGAGTAACTTGTGTGCCCACATATGACTGGAACAACTGACAAAAAAAATAAACTTGTCCAAAGCTATACAACGAAAGAATTGGTGCACAACACTTGTTAAGAGAAAGAATGAAGATGTAGCTCGGTGATAGAGGGCTTGCCGAGCATGGGCAGGAGTCCTGGGGTCAGTCCCCAGTACCATGCAAAAAGAGAAGCACGTCAAGATGTGGGGGAAGAAAGCGTCACCTGTGTTTTGTTTGGTTGGGTTTTTAAAGTTTTACTTAGAATCATTACTTTCACAAACCTGAAACAAGCCCCTCAAGCATGCACCCCTGCCTCCTGGCTAATAGCCCAGCACCTCAAGCATGCTAGGTAAGTGCACTATGGCTAACCCATACACCCCAGAGTGCCAGTTCATCACTGACTGCCAACCAGCCCTAGTCCAGAGCCTTTGTGGAGCACAGCCCGTGTTTCCCCACTATCTTAATAGCATGGCTTCACCACTAACTTGTCTAATGGCAGATGGGGAGCAACTTACTTCAGCTAGTACATGTCTTTGGAAATCCCTGATTTATTTATTATTTATTTTTCATTTTTCAAAACAGAGTTTCTCTGTGTAGCAGCTCTGGCTGTCCTGGATCTCACTCTGTAGACCAGGCTGGCCTCAAACTCACAGAGATCTGCCTGGCTCTGCCTCTCGAGTGCTGGGATTAAAGGCGTGCGCCACCACTGCCTGGCTGTGATATGCCATTTTTACATATGGCTTCTTTTGTTGATTTTCCTTGGCATAGAATCTCACTGTGTAGCTCAGAACTACCTTTAACTTGAGACGATCAACCTGCTTCAGCCTACTGAGTACTATTACAGATATAAGCATCTACATCCAGCTACTCATATTCTTTTTCTTTTCTTTTTTATATCCTGGTCACTTGAGGAAACCCTCAGAAAACATGCCCTAGGATGGGATGGCCTGATCTCTGGTTTTTTTTTTTTGTTTTGTTTTGGTTTTTTTTTTTTTTTTCGTTTTTCGAGACAGGGTTTCTCTGTGTAGCTTTGCGCCTTTCCTGGATCTCGCTCTGTAGACCAGGCTGGCCTCGAACTCACAGAGATCCGCCTGCCTCTGCCTCCCGAGTGCTGGGATTAAAGGCGTGCGCCACCACCGCCCGGCCTGATCTCTGGTTTTAAGAGTCCCTCCTTAGCCTGACCTTCAAGGCCCTGTGAAATCTCATCCTACCCTCTCAATAAAGTTTGACAGATACAACTGCCATGCCAACCCAAAATAGATCTAGAAGCTTCTTCCTCAGTGTTTCATATTACTTGATATATTCTGTATAATATGTTAGGAAAGGACTAGCTTTGGAGGACAGACAGATCTTAGTTGAGAATCACTATCCCACTCTGAGGATGGAGCTCAGTGGTATAGCTCTGGCCTATCATACTCAAGGTCCTCGGTTTCAATCCTCAGTGCAAGGGAGAAAAGGAAAGGAGGAGAATGAGAGCCAGTGAGATGGTGTGGCACAAACTCCTCTCCTCTCATAAATAAATGTAAACCATTTTTTAAAAGTCCCTATCCTTGTCTGAAAGCTAGGTGTAGAGGCTGGAGGATCAGGACTTCAAAGTCATCCTGTTTTTATTTTTTCTTAAGGGTCATCCTAGACTACATACTAAGTTGAGGCCAACCTGTGCTATATAGTGAGAGCCTGTCTCTAAAGACAGGAGCAACAACAAACAAATTCAGAGAAAAAAGTAAGAATTCCAATGCCATATTTATTACGTTATGAGCTTAGACCTCATTCCTATTCTGTAAATACAAATCTATTTCCACCTGTCAGTGTAACTAAAAGATCTGTGCATGCCATGTGATTTGCATGGTGCCTGGTTCAGAGTAATTATTGTTGCAGAAATGTTTCTTGCCATGCCCAGAATGACATAAAAGCTGGTGTCTCCCACCAGATCGATTTCTGTCTCTTCTGCTGGTGAGAAGGTCAAGAAGAGGAACGGGGTGTGGTACAGCTTAGTGGTAGGGCATTTGCCTGGCATGTTCAAGCCTGGATCACCAACACTGTGAGAAAGTAATAAGAATAGAGCAGGGCTCCATGAGGATGCTACAGACAACTGAAGTCAAGGACTGGCCGCAAGCACAGCTTTTCACTTAGTCCTTTTCATGGTGTTAAACTGCATGGCGTGCAGCCAGCTGAGCAGTAGAGGGCAGTAGAGGGCTGGTGAAAAGCGAGGCACGACCAGGACACATACAAAGTCACACAATCAGACTTCTTGTTTGGTTTTTTGTTTTTGTTTTTGAGACAGGGTTTCACTGTGTACTAGTTCTAGCTCTCCTAGAACTCACTCTGTAGCCCAGGTTGGCCTGGAATGAACAGAGATCCACCTGCCTCTGCCTCCCCAGAGCTATGATTAAAAGCGTGCTACAAATTTTATAAAGAAATGTAAGATCTTTAAAAGAACAGTAAGCTGCTGCTTCATTTTGAAAAGCCCTTTCATTATCTCTGTAGGATTATTTCCCTCAGTTCTCTAGTGCTGAGATCAAACCCAGAGACTCACATGCTAGGCATGTGCTCTCCCACCGAGAGAGACCAGCTCTTATGTATTCTTACAAATGTTCATGCTCATTTTGTAAATGTCTCAGCTGTTCAATGAATACATTGATCAGTTTATCACAAATTAACCTCCTGTTTTTCACCTAATAACCCTTTTCTATAAGTGTGATATACAGCTAGCAGGCATGCTTCCGTGTTGCAGATAAGCATGTTTGTGGAAGTGATTTTCCGTAAAACACTGTGAAGGAGCTTTTCTAATCCTGCAGTTCACAGCTGACATCCCAGATGCTGGCGGGAAGAACTCAAGCATTGCAAAGCTCACTTTCTAACTCTGGACTTAGACTCAACCGATACCGATGGGTCTTTAACCCTGGGTTGAGTGCTTACATAATTCCATTTAGTCTTCACCGAATTCTCCTCACTCATTCAATAACATTCCTGGTGCTTTAATAGTGACTAGGGTTTCAAGGATGCAATACTAAAATCTAGAAGGTTTCAATCAAAGCATGCAGCTCTCAGAACAGGAAAAGCATCAGCTAATAGATATGATAAGCTCTTATTCTTAATGATGAAAGCCAATTAAAAACAGTGTGGGCCAGCAAGATGGGTCAATAGGTAGTGGCACTTGCTGCACAAGCCTGGTAATCTGAGTTTGATCCTCAGATCCCATATCAAAGTGGAAGGAAAGAATCAACTCCACACTGGGCAGTGGTGGCGCATGCCTTTAATTCCAGCACCTGGAGGCAGAGGCAGGTAGATCTCTATGAGTTCCAGGACAGCCTGGTCTAGAGATCAAGTTCCAGGACAGCCAGGGCCACACAAAGAAACCCTGTCTCAAAAAAAGAAAGAAAGAAAGAAAGAAAGAAAGAAAGAAAGAAAGAAAGAAAGAAAGAAAGAAAGAAAGAATCAACTCCACAGAATTGTCCTCTGGCTTCCATATGTTAACTATGAGATACACATACCCATATACATTATACATACAAACACACACACACACACACACACACACACACACACACATTAATAATACTATTTCGGCCAGGCGGTGGTGGCACACACCTTTAATCCCAGCACTTGGGAGGCAGAGCCAGACAGATCTCTGTGAGTTCGAGGCCAGCCTGGTCTACCTAGTGAGTTCCAGGACAAGCACCAAAACTATACAGAGAAACCCTGTCTCAAACGCCCCCCCCAAAAAAAAATAAATAAAATAATAATAATAATTCTAAAAATAAGACCCAGTGTGATAATTTCATCTATTTGGTTAATAAAGATTGGCTGAACTGGGCAGTGGTGGAGCACGCCTTTGCCTTTAATCCCAGCGCTTAGGAGGCAGAGGCAAGGGGATCTCTGAGAGTTCAAGGCCAGTGAGTTCCAGGACAGGCTCCAAAGCTACACAGAGAAACCCTGTCTTGAAAAACCAAAAAAAAAAATCCACAAACAAACAAAAAAAGATTGGCTGATGGCACATGTCTTTAATCCCAGCACTCAGAAGGCAGGGGCAGATGATCTCTGAGAGTTCTAGGCCAGCCTGGTCTACAGATCGAGTTCCAGAACGGCCGGCATCCTAGAGGCTGAAGAGATATATCCATAGTCAAGAGCACTTGATGTTCTTGCAGAGGATGCAGAGGATGGGAGTTCAGTTCCTAGCCTGTATCTGAAGGGTCACAACCACCTGTAACTCCAGCTCTGGGAGATCAGATGCCCTCTTCTGGCTTCCTGGGGCACCTACACACATGGTACACACACAGAGACACATATACATAAATTTTAATCTTTAAGAAAAAAGGATTGAGGCCAGCAAGATGACTCAGTGGGTAAAGGTACTTGCTGCCAAGGCTGACCAGCTGGGTTTTATCTCTGAGGCTTACATGACAGAGGAAGAGAACAGACTGCTGAAAAAAAGGATTGGCCTCCTATGCTCATATGCATGGTGGGAAGTTAGCATTCCTATACACTATTGGTAGAACTATAAATTGATGCTTTCTGTTTGGAGAGAAATTTCATGATATTTACTAACATTTAAAATGTGCTGGAGCCGGGCGGTGGTGGCGCACGCCTTTAATCCCAGCACTCGGGAGGCAGAGCCAGGCGGATCTCTGTGAGTTCGAGGCCAGCCTGGTCTACAGCGCGAGATCCAGGAAAGGCGCAAAGCTACACAGAGAAACCCTGTCTCGAAAAAACCAAAAAAAAAAAAAAATGTGCTGGGGTAAAGGATTTAGCTCAGCGATAGAGTGCTTACCTAACACTCATGGGGTCGGTCCCAGGAATTCCAGGATAGCTTGGGGAAACAACAAGCCATTTCTTAAAAAAAAAAAAAAAAAAAAATTAGGCCGGGTGGTAGTGGCACACACCTTTAATCCCAGCACTCGGGAGGCAGAGGCAGGCGGATCTCTGTGAGTTCGAGGCCAGCCTGGTCTACAGAGTGAGATCCAGGAAAGGCGCAAAGCTACACAGAGAAACCCTGTCTCGAAAAAAACAAAAAAAAAAAAAATTAGGCTGGGTGGTGGTAGCACAAGCCTTTAATCCCAGCACTAAGGAGACAGAGGCAAGAAGATTCTGTGAGTTCAAGGCCAGCCTGGTCTACAGAGTGAGTTCAGGACAGCCAGGGCTACACAGAGAAACGCTGTCTCAAAAAACCAATAATAATGATTAGGTTGAGGAAGTAGCTCATCTGCTGGAGAACTTGCTTTGTACCCTGGGTTCAAGTCCTTGTCACTTCATAAGACAGACATGGTACAATCCTAGCATGTGTGAGGTGGAGGCAAGAGGGCCAGAGGTTCAAGATCATCCTCAGTTACAAAATCAAGTTCAAGGCCAGCCAGGGTTAGATGAGTTCCTTTTCCTAAAAATTAGTTTCAGTCGGGCATGATGACACATTATACTGGCTGGTTTTGTGTGTCAACTTGACACAAGCTAGAATCATCAGAGAGGAAAGAGTGTGGAGTATTGCTGTGACAGACCTGACCATGTTTTTAGAATTGTGGATGGACTCTGGAACTTTGGGCCAGAAGAGCCATTGAGTATTAAGAGCTCTTCGGGATGCTTGGTGGGAGCTTGAAAGGTAAGAATGTTAAAAGCAGTCCAGTGTGGTGGCAAATGCATTCAATTCCAGCACTCCAGGACAGCCAGGGCTACACAGAGAAGCCTCGTCTTCAAAAACCAAGAAAATAAAAAAGAAGAAGAAAGCCGGGCGGTGGTGGCGCACGCCTTTAATCCCAGCACTCGGGAGGCAGTGCCAGGTGGATCTCTGTGAGTTCGAGGCCAGCCTGGGCTAGAGTGAGTTCCAGGAAAGGCGCAAAGCTACACAGAGAAACCCTGTCTCAAAACAAACAAACAAACAAACAAAAAAAGGAGAAGAAGAAGAGGGAGAGGAAGAAGGATGCTGTGGGATGGTCTGTATGTCAAAT